CCTGGGGAGGGCGTGGCTAGAACGAGCTGCTTCAGGAAGCCAGGGGATCAGAAGCCTCGGCTGGGACGGCACAGGCTCTGGGTGGCCTAGAGACAGTAGAAGCATGGCAGGGGCTTGGGCAGGGGCCTAGCGGCTCAGTGGGACAGAGGAGGAGACCTTAAGGCTTTGAGGACAGGGCCGGCACTTAAGAGATCTGGATTCTACCAGATTAATTCCATGTGTATCTTTGGGTCTCGGTTTCCCCATATCACGAGGGTGCTGAGTCAGGTAGTGTGAGATGCTCACCACCTCTGACACCTTTGATGTGATGCAGCCCCCAAACCAGGCTTTGTGGGCAGGGAGAGAATACAGACGCAAGAGGCAGAATTTGGGTGGAAGCTTCCCAAGGCTGGGGGCCGAGCACCACCCACTTTCTCTTCCCCAGCCCTATTTCTGGGCTCCCCAGCGGGGTGAGGGGTGGTGGAGGCGGTGCCCATGCTGGGCTGAGCCTGCAGTTTTCGTGAGCTCTGGGCTCGTCTCCATGGGAACAGGGGGTGCCTTCCTAGTGAGTTCATTCTGCCCAGAACTTTGGGGGCATGCGTGGGGGAGTCGTAAGTGAGCTCAGCTTCTTCGTGCCGGGCCCCTCCCAGGACAGAGCGAAGCCCCTACCCTGGACCCCTGCTCCCTTCTACCCCCCCCCCCCCAGGGCCAGCAGTGGAAGAGGCCACCCTCCATCCTGCAGCTCCTGCGGCCAGGCTGGCCGAGCTCTTCCCCCAACTTTGTTTTCTCTCCTGTTCTCAATACACTCGGCCTCAAATCTGTCTTGCTTCTTTCTTTCTTCCGCACTCCCTGGCTGGTGGTCAGGACTCTCTCCTTCCCGATTCTGGCTTGGGAGGTGGGGTGGGACGACCCAGTTACCGTGTGGCGTGTCTCTGAGTACTGTTTGAATCCGCTGCGTGTCTGGATCTGCCGTGTGTATAGATGTGTGCCGGCTTGGAGGCAAGGGCTGCCTCTCTCTCGTCCCTGGGTCAGCACTTAGGGAACCATAGTCCTGTGGAAATCACATTCTTCTGTTTTCTCCTTCCTTCAGAGTTTGGCCAAAAAGGCTGTGGAGCATAGGGAAGACCCACAGCCCCTTACAGTCCATGTTTGTTTGAGTTCTTTAAAAGTGGAATTAAAAAAAATTTTTTTTTAATGTTTATTGATTTTTGAAAGAGAGAGAGAGAGAGAGAGACAGCCTGAGCAGGGGAGGGGCAGAGAGCAAGGGAGACAGAATCCAAAGCAGGCTCCAGGCTCTGAGCTGTCAGCACAGGGCCCGATGTGGGGCTCGAATTCATGCACTGCAAGATCATGACCTGAGGTGAAGTCGGACACTTAACCAACTGAGCCACCCAGGAGCCCCTAAAAGTGGGATTTAAATGCCTTGAGCCAGAGCATATACTTTCTGGTTCCCTCAGTCCCCCTCCTCCTCTCCCTGTTATCTAATCTGGCAATGTCCCATATTTGTCACCTCCTAGCTCCTGAAAACAGAGTTTCTGCCCCTGGTGGAGAGGAGCAAACTGCCATCAAGAGTCAGAAGTGGGTTGTAGTCCCAGATCTATACCTGACTCCTTGTGTGACCTTAGACGACCCCTCCCACCTCTGGCTGGGCCTTAGTCTGCCTTGCGTCCAATGAAAGGATTGCAGAAGGCAATCGGGGAGCTAGCTCTGCTTGGTCGCTGATGGTTCCTGTCTGATGACTCTGTTTAAGCCTTCACCCCACACACATGCCCTGCGATGGGGCTGGGGCTGGGTTAAGTGGGTGCTTCTTTCTGAATCTTCACCCATGTGCATTTCCAGGGAGTTCTGGCTTATGTAATGCATTGAGAGCTTTGTCAGAAAGTGAACAGTCCTGATTTCTCACAGCTTTTTTGTATTGTGCACCCCACCTCCCCCCTCCGCCCCCCGCACAGAGAGTCAGTACCCAGACATGGCAGTTCCGATGAGGTCAGGCTCTGGCCTTCTTCCAAATGGTGAGGAGCTGCTTACCACTGCCCCACATTCCAACCCAGGCTTGGGAAGTCAGGCTAGGGCCACTTGCTGGCCCAAGCCTTCCCCTTGTGGCCACCAACGGCAGACATAACCCTTAGAGATTTCAGACAGGTATGATAAGTCTACCTGCCCTAGCCCGCCTTTCTCCTGGCTGCAGAGCCCTGGATGCTTGTTGATGGGCTGGGATCATGAACTCCTGGCCCCACTTCCCACAGCTGGGCTGACTAAAAGCTTCCTGGGATATGTCGCGGCCAGAACAGCTCCCAGGGTCTCTGGCTCACATATACCCAACTCTGACCCTGGGAGTGAAAGGGGTGGATCCCACGCTGAGCTTTAACTTTCCAAGTTGATGATTGGGGTCTTGGATGTCCCCAGGAGGTCCCTAAGGGCCCCTCCAGCATTACTATCCCATGAAAAATCTCCTATTGGGACGGCTGTACATTTTTCTTTAGGTTTAAGGGAACCCCTTCTGAGTCAGCCCATCTAGTAGCTGCTGCATTGGATGGAGAAAACATAGTTTATTACTTCCTTTTGATTGGGAGAAATCGGATTCTGATTGGATGAGAGGCTGACTGGCTTGGCTGTGGCTGGTTACTGATTGGGTGAAAGACTGGATCTTTTGAATGAGTCTGGATTTTGATTGAGTAGAAGACACTGAATGGACTGGCTAAGTCTGGACTCTCAGGAATGACTGCTGGTGAATCTGGGTTGGAGTGAAGGCTGAGTGGACTGATTTACTGCTGCAATCTGATCGAAGAGTTGGATGATTTAGCAGATACAAGCTGGGCATGGATTCCGAAACCAGTCCAAACCAGTGCTTCCGACAGCTTAAGCATGGTGTAGCCTTTGGATGGGAGGTGGTCACCCCCACACATTTCCTGGTGGGACAGAACACAGCAGGCAGTTTTTTACACCTCTGAATTTCATCTTCATCCTTGTACAATGGGTGTGATAATGCCAGCCACCTCATCAGTATGTTGTGAGGATCCAAGGAGGGATACAGGATGAGACTGAAACTTGTAGGCTAGAAGGTCCTTAAATAGATGGGAAACAGGTACAGTAGTATATAGCAGAGCCGTGCTTTATCACCTCAGAGATGTTCACCAACTCGGCCCCACCAAATCCACACTCCCTGCCCCATGCTGACAAGAAGTCCAGTCGGGGGAGTGTGCCGTCTACGGCAGAATGAGCCAACTCCCTTTGGTGTCCCCATCTGTCACTGGGAACTTCCTCCCTGCTCGGGGCATCCAGGGAAAACTTCGGAGGTGACCATGGCAACCTGGCAAGGGGGTTGGGACTAAGAGGGTCTTTCCCTAAGCCCTTAATAATAATGATCAGTATTTTTGTCTTAACATTTTAAGATAGATAATACAACCATATGTTTCAGAAACCTAATCTTACATAGAAAGTAATACGCTAGAGCTTTACTCCCACCCCCGTGGCTGTGTACCCCACCCCAGTGGCCCCATTTCCTAACAGAGACCCACTTTGGTGAGTTTCCGTGTATCCTTCCAGTATTTCTTTCCGGTAACTAACACCTCCTGAGCCCTTCCTCTCCTCCAGGGCATCTTCCAATACATGAAACATTCTTTTACACGAGTTATCTCATGTAACCCTCACAACAACCCCCTAAGTCTAGTGCTGGTATTATACCCCCATTTTACAGAGGAGGAAACCAAAGCCCGGAGGCTTCCAGTTGCTTCCGCGGCTGAAATAACTTGCCCAAGTTCATTCAGTAGTAAGTAAAGGGGTCTGTCTCCAGAGCGAGCGTTCTTCACCACCACTCACCTGCCTCCCCGTTGAGCGCAGGGACAGGCAGCATGGGCTGAGAGCCGGGACCCCTGCGTTTTACTGCAGGCCCTATTCCCCTGACTTGGGGGCCTGGCTTCCCGACTCTGTGCAGTGCACAACCCAGACTCGGTCCCTCCCGAAACCCCGGTCTAGAGGACCCCAGCACTAACGCCTGCCCCCGCCCTCTCTGCTCTCTCCCCAGGACCGCCGGGA